AGGGGGCCAATAATTCAAGTGGGGCTAATAATTCTGACTTCAACTTTATGTAATTTTAAAAATAATTGCAATGTTTAGTCATTGTTAAAGTTCTTGACTTCCAATAGTTTTCTGTTAACAATGTTCAATGTTTACTTTATTTGTAAAGCACAAGTTAATACTAAGATTTGACCACAGTGTTGTACACAAACATTACAAAAGTAAAAATATGAAAATTAGTCAAATGAAAATTATTTTAACCCACAATAAAAGCTAAATTACCTTGAAGTAATAACATTCCATTTTGTTATTGCTTAACAGTCAAGTAATAGCAGATTGATGCATTTATTTATTCAATGTTTATGTCTGACTACTAAGACCTGCCAAAAAATATCTAAAGCACGATAAGTTTCTCTTTTGTATTGTTTTTTATATTTCTATAGTTTCTAATATTTTTGCAGATGCACTATACTACAAAATCACTGCAATCCAGTAAAATAGATTTGAAGTTTTAGTATACTTTACATTGCATAAATGCAAAATATTGCAATAAATTTTTTTTCCCAAATATCGTGCAGCTCTAGTTTGTGTGTGTGTGTGTTTGTGTGCATGTGTGAATCAGACTCCAGGCCACTGCGAGCTAATGATTTAGAATAGTTGACTCCTCCAGGGAGATCAGGAAGTGAAGGTCTGCCTTCTGAAATCGCCGTGTCAGGGGTGGGGGTCTGTTTAAGCAAATTGTTAATCACACGCAGCTCAAGATGAGTTAACAACTGCGGACCAGAACTAAGCCAGGAGTCCTTCAGGCACAATGCCATCTAGACTTTGAGGAGTGAGAATGGTCTAGAGCAGACCACAGACAGCGACGTTTCATTAATCCAGAAATAGCACAGGCATCATAGTTATTCACAGATTGTTTGTGGTTTTACACATACTGGCTTCAATGACTTTTTTCATTATTCATAATCATTTATCTCTCAATGGATATTATGTATTAAATTTAAACATGCACTATAATTGTAGATTTTTTAATGCATTATACTATGGAATGTGTGAAAAAATTATAAAACGTATGAAAAATCTATGAAATAATTTTATTTATTTATTATTTTTTTAATGTTTCATAGTCAAAAAAAAATGTTTTATTATGGCAAGTAGGGTTAAGTATTGTTTGGGGTTATTTTATTACTGGGGCTAAATCGATACTTTTTAAACAGTACCGGCGCCTGAACCGATATTTTTGAACCACAAAATTTATGGTGGAAAAACTTTTTATCTAACAAAAAAAATAGTTCAATCATTTTAATTGAACAAAATAATTAAAATTTAAAGTATACATCAATTCATATTTTATATATTTTAGTTGTATTATTATACTGGTTGAGGTTTGAGTCGTCTAAATACGTTTACATGGACACAAATACTACCAATGTGAATTTCATTAATTAATGATTAAGACAATACTCTGATTAAGAGTCTACCATGTAAACGTTTTTGTTGTCTTAGTCTAACTAAAGTCATAAATAAACTAAACAAAAATCAAATTAAGACATGTGGGGTATACATATTTTAATGGCATTATTGAATTACACAACAGACATGTAAACACCTTAGTCAAACTACCATCATGTAGAATTTTTCAGTGCACTTTTGTTTAATTGCCTAAGCAACAAGAACAAATGCCTAACATCGACGATGGTGTCCTTAACCCTCAAAGTTGTTAAGAATAAAATGTTTATAGATGGTATGACACAACGCATACCTATGTGTGCCCTTAATGCTTCTTATCCCTTTGACTAGCACTCTACCAAACGGTTTACCATGTTTTTACTGTTTTAAATAATGACAGTTAAAGTCATTTAAAGAATGACTGTTTTAAATAATGGTTTACACACAGCATTGTTTATTTACAATTCAAACTATTTATTGACCGAACACCATTGTCAGTATCAATAATAAAAAAAAGTTCAGTATAAAGTTTCGGTATGAAGCTCTATAGTCTTATTAAAATGTGACTGCTGAGTGCACGCCTTGGAAGCAATGTCAATTAGCTTCAGAGTGTAAGTTTGTCATTTCAATGGAGGCGTCACATGTGACGCGCGCACATTTTCCAGGTGCACATAGTTGAAAAACAGCTGAACTTTCCAAATGCCGTGAGTGACACCACAATTCATGCAAGTAGAAGTACTCAATCTGCTTCACACTTTTTATGGAATATACACATTTCAGTCATAAAAGTAGACTAATTAAACACAGCGTATCCAAAAACTGCAGTGCTTTTTACTTTTCTCCATAAACTTACATCAGACCTGCAGCAATGGTTTGTCCATTTGTCATCCTCTGAGAAATCGGTTGATGGTCGCCTAGATACAAGACGCCATAGAAAATGGATAAGGAATTAACGCCCTTGCACTTGTTACTTCAGGTCAGAATAACAACACATTCGAAAATGATTGCCGTATAGCAGCAGCGAGGAGATTGTAAATAAAAAAAGGATGTAGCCAGAGTGGCTTTTTGGTTTCTTTTCTTGTGCATCTTAGCCACTAGCTTCCTATCTGAAAGGTTTTTAGTGTAGTGGGTAATGTAGTCATTCAACTTTACAATTTGTAATGTTGCAATATGTATTTAAATAATGATGGTTGGTTCCTTTATTTGAATGCTCAGATTTGATTAGTTTCTTTAAGAGTCTCTTATGTTTGTTTTATTATAAAGAGATCAGATATTTTGTTTAAATATTTTTGTTTTCAACTATTTGCCTCAGTAATGTTGGTAAATTAAAATAAAGTATTTAAAAAATCCTAATATTCCTAAATGGATGATTAAAAATATTCAATAATTATCAATATCAAATGATATGAAACGTGATGTCATGATAATTCTTTTTGTACTATGGCCTAGCACTAAGTCCAAGTGGTGACATGTTTCTGCTAAATATTAAAGTAAATAAACATAACAGAGTCTGTACTGGGGCAATGCTACATGCTTATAGAATGTTAGCACCTTATTGAGAATCAAATAGGTAATGATGTACTTTCTTTTTTATTTGGTCTGTAACAGTGTGACCACATGACTTCCTTTATAAATGATTGTAACTCGGAGTTCCTCAAGGAAGTATACTCTCGGTCACACTCTTCAGTATTAAAATAAATAGCATTGTGGAAATCATTGCTCCAAATATGTTCTGCAGCATCTACGTGGATGATTTATGTATCTGTTACAGAGGGAAGAACATGAATACAATTGAAAGGCAATTACAGTTAAATATTCACAAAATTAACCAGTGGGTTGTCGAAAATGGTTTTAAATTCTCTAAAACAAAAACTGTTTTTACACATTTTTGTATCCAGCGATCACTTCATCATGATCCAGAACTTTTTATCAATGGAAATATGATCAAGGTTGTTAAAGAAATCAAGTTTTTAGGTCTCCTTTTTGATAACAAAATGACTTTTATCCCTCATTTAAAATTTTTGAAAAACAAGTGCCTCAAAGCTATGAACATAATCAAAGTGTTGGCAAAAACAAATTGGGGTGCTGATTTAACTGTACTTTTACGATTGTACAGAGTACTCATTCGATCTCGTTTGAATTATGGAAGCATAATTTATGACTCTGCCAAGAAATCTTATAAACAAATCCTCAATACAGTCCACCATCAAGGATTGCGGCTTGCTTTAGGAGCATTCAGAACATCACCCGTTCAGAGTCAGTACATTGAAGCTAACGAACCCTCACTTCAAAATAGACGGCTGAAACTTTCACTACAATATGCTATCAAACTAAAGGCAAATAAGAACAACCCAGCTTATACTGCAGTTTTCGAACCTCAGTTTGTACAATTATACGAGAGTAAGCCAAAAACCATCAGACCTTTTGGTTTACGTATCAATTCACACCTACAAAATCTAAATTTAAACCTGGACATTTTAAAACAAATACACTTCAACTCATTGCCTCCCTGGAATTTAAAGACGCCTATAATCAATATGGAGCTAGGACATCAGAAGAAAGGTGTTACTCATCCCAATATGTACAAACAACAATACCTGGATATCAGAACTCAATATTCTCAGCACATACCAATCTTCACAGATGGTTCAAAGATGGAAAGTAATGTAGCAGCAGCAATGGTGACAGGGGAACAAAGTCATGGAATCAGTCTGCCTAAAGAATGCTCCATATTCACAGCTGAAGCCCGCGCTTTACTTTTAGCATTGGAGTATATAGAAAATGCCCAACAAAAGAAATCCATCATTTTTACAGACTCTAAATCATGCCTTCAAGTTATGGAATCTTCAACGAATAATCATCCTTTGATAATATTTTAACTATAGTTCACCAACTACAAAATCAGTTTTATCACATCATTTTTTGCTGGGTTCCTGGACATGTCGGACTTTTAGGAAATGAGCGAGCTGATGCAGCTGCTAAAGATGCTTTGAAGCAAGTAGTGAACAAATGCCAAATTCCTCCGTCAGAGATGAAATCTTTTATCAACGCTTACATTTTAAACAAGTGGCAAAAGGAATGGGATGCATTAGAAAACAATAAACTACATGAAATCCAACCTGAAGTTTCACACAGAATTTTAAGACATTTTAAGAGTCGATTTGATCAAGTAGTTTTTACCAGATGTCGTATTAGGCATACGAGAATTACACATGGTTTTTTGCTCCAAGGTGAAAACCTTACTGAGTGTTTGTGCTGCAAAACTCATCTTACTGTAAAACATATTTTACTGGACTGTCCTGCTTTTACTGATTCCAGAAGGACTTTTTATGAAATGAACTCTTTTGAGGACATTTTTGACAAAGTGAAACCAGAAAAGATTTTAGAATTTTTATCATGTATTAACACAAAAAATCTTATTTAATTTGTTTTATTTTGTTTGTTAATTTTTAAATTGTATATTTATTGTTGAAAGATTCCTGCCATGAAAATAGCCTTGGTTGCTGACATGGCACTAAATAAAAAATACATTACATATAAATGATTGTTCTGCACTCTTTGTTGATTTCTAGAACATTCCAACGTTGGGCACCGTTGCCATTACGATGGCCCTACATAACTGCGATGAGGTCGCTGTTGCTGGATTTGGCTATGACATGAACACCCCTCATGCACCCTTGCACTACTACGAATCAGTCAAAATGTCTGCCATTAAAGAGGTAAGCGTTTTTTGTTTATTACTTTAATTAAAAAAATGTTAAATAATTTTCTTTCTTTTCAAATAGATGATATTTTTATAGCAAACAACTGTGAGCTAATTTCTCATATCTTTGTTTGATCCAAGTCTGTTCACTTTCTGGAAAATTACAATGATGTCACTGGTAGGTCGTCCCGGGGTCCGAATGAGTGCTCATGTAGATAACTTTGTTGTTATGTTTAGTAAATTCCTCTCTGTTTGCCAGGTCTATAAAAGTGCACTCATAAAACTGAGCTGTTAACGCGCAGTTAGCTCCTGACTGCTCTGCCGCCCATCCTTGTCAAATCACAGTCAGGTAGCGCTCATGCAGAACACAGTCTCTTCCTGATTCTGTAGGATTAAGACCTGCGCTCTATGTAAAGCCAATGGGATTTAAGCTTTTGGCTTGTAGAGTGAGTAATTGACCCACAGTAGAACAGTACATGGTATTTGTCTTTGTAGGTTTGGCAGTCCCCATCCCAGCTGTGATTTGAGGGATTTCTTCCAACAGTAAATTTACTCTTGTGACTTTCACTAGTGAATGCCAGGATTTGTAATCGGTTGTTTCATCAGCTTGTTGGGCGAAATGTCATATTTGCATAAAATAACTTGAACTTTCTGTCACTCTCTAGACAAGTTAAAAGGAACAGTAATAGAGTTAGTTTAATATATTTGTAACCAAATAAATAAAATGTTGTTTAAATATGCTTTAAATTGATCAAAAGTGACAGTTAGAGTCCTAACAACGTGTGACATGACAACATTTGCAGATTTTGTCTGTCCGCACTAGACAACATGACAAAAGTATTTAAATAGCACACAAGTTAGAAGCGTATACCTGTGCACTGGACTTCCAGCTGAATAGTTGTTAGTTCTGACTATCTACTGGCGCTTTTGGTATGGATAAAATGTCACTTAAATTGTAATTCAAACTCACATTGGCATTCAACACCAAATAAAGCACATGATTGGCACCTGAGGTGATCATTGTCATTGTAGTTCATGCTATCCAGCCGTGACTTCACAGAAATAAAAAACGTTTATAAAATAGAAACCATGCATGTTGCTCTAGCAGGTGGTTGGGACAAAAACTCCTTTTAACATGGACAATACGGCTTTTATCATGTGTAGTAGTGTTGTGTTGTGGGTAGTTACTTAGGACACGATATTAGTTAATTAAATTGTTAATTTTTTTTATTGATTTACTTTTAAGAAGTGGTAACATTACTGATAATTTCCTGGAATGCTTCTCTGTGTGAACACAAAAGAAAAATTACCGGAAGCGCATTCACGTATACATGACATCTACTCCGACTAATCAAACAAATTCACATGCTTCTCTAGACACATTTTAAATTTAAATCATTTCTCTTGACACATTTACAGTTGCTGCTGTTTGATAGTCAGTTAATTTTTCTATGATCGTGCGAACTGTGGAAAAAAAATTATCAATAAAATTATTGTAAACCGCTGTGACTTTACCTGAAAGCTCATATGAGTCAGATTTGATTAACCTACAGCACCGGTAGTCTTTTGTTATAAAAAGTTCTCACAAGAAGAGATCTCACAAGCTTAAACACAAACTCAAATGTGCATCTCATTTTGCAAATTTGTTCACAATTCATCAGAATAAACGGTTAGCGCTTCTGCCGCATGGTAACATTAGCAGTTTTTTTCCTAGTTATTTGGTCTATCTCTGGGACAAACATGAATGCTAAAGTTCTAAATAATCATCAAGAAAAAGACTTGACCCCCTTTCATGTTTAATAAAAAGCTCATTATTTTTTCTTTCTTTTGGTCAATGATGACGGAATTTGCTGGTATTTTGAATGTGTGAATGATCCCTTTCTGAAAAATTCTGGAACGTTCTTAGCTTTGTAAACAGTTAATAATAGATAAATAATAGAATAATAATAGGAATTATTAATTACCTATTAATAATATGAAATAATAGGATAAGTCCAAATAAGCCATATAAGACCAAAACAAAATGAATACCCAACTTCAATTAAGACTTCAATGCATTGCCACAGTTATTACTGTTTTTACCTTTATATATTAGTTTGCATTTTATAAATCATCACAAGGGATTCAGACGGGAAAAAAATTCTAATAAAAAAAGGAAAATGCATCTACCTTGTAAAATGTTTACATAATATATTTGTTACAGAACATTTCCATCTAAGTCAAAAGCTGTTCTTTTTTACATTTAATTAACCAAAATACATCAAAATACTAAGCAGCTTAGTTGTTTTGAAGACATAATAATAATTTAAAATGTTTATAATATTATATTGTTCTGAAGGATTACGTACCACTAAAGACTGGAGTTTTGCCATCACCGTTGTTTTGAAATTGTTATTAGTATCTCTTAAAGAGACTTAGTTAAAAAAAAAAAAAAAAAAACTCCCAAGTACAGAGGCATAAGGAAGAAATTGTTTCAGATCGTCTTACCCTGAGGCAGTTCGTCCAGAGGAGACTCTTAACTCAGCATGTGTTTTGGCCTGTGCCCTTTTCTCTCTGATGGAGAGTGAAACTTTACTCCTGGATCTGCTTGGTTTTCGGTGAATGTGATCTGTCACCAGGGCTGACCAAGCTGTAGCAGACAGCCCAGAGACTCTGTTGAGAGGCTTTTGGCCCAATATCTCAGCCCCAGCTGGTCCAGAACCTTGTGTTAGGGCCAGTTGTGAGGTCCCATCCGTTCGGACCGAGAACCTCTCACAGGAACCCAAAGCTCTAATTTCATCCAGTTTCACCTGGCCTGCAGTTTGTCTGCTGTGGTGTTGTGTGTCTGAAAATCACATCAAAGAACAATGGGATATTAAAGGAAACCTGGAGAGGATGGGTTTCACAGGAGTCGATACAAATACAGTTCTCTGATCCCAAAACAGTCTTCATCCCTCTCCTGCGACTCAGAGCTCTGTTATTGTTGTAATAAAATATCTGCTAGTAGAAGTGAAGTGCTAGTAGATGTAAGAATTGAGGTTTTTATTTGAACCGTGATGGATATTGACCTAAGCACTTAGCTCAGCCACAAATCCGATTAAAAAAAATCTGCATGTTCAGATAGATTTTAATGCTGTTTTACAGAAATTCTCAAAAGTCAAAGTCCACATCTTTCATTAAAGGTCCCATGAAATAAATGTAAACATTTTAGATGTTAGTTTCAGTTTGTTAGTTTCAAGTATATCTATTAGCTAGTGTGCTACAAAGCAGTGACAAAATCTGCCTGTAGAAGATATAAAACTGATTAACATTCAAAGCTTGAAGTTTGTCACCTCCGCCTAAATGGATCAACGTTTTGTTTGTCACGTCAGCCCATACTGCAGTTTCTCTTTAAATCTTGACCAGTCAAATGCTCTCTAGTATCTGACATCTGCCCCCTTCAAGACGCTTCTCATTTGCTTTTCATTTGATGACCTTGAGCTCAACTACTCTCCCTGGCAGAGCTGGGATAAAAACAAAAAGCTATTGGCTCTTCTTTTAAAGGGGAGGAGCTAATTTATGGTCTTTTTTTTTCAGTTGAGAGTACGTCAAACATCAAAGAGAAACTGCACATTTTAAAACACTTCACGGGACCTTTATGAGCATGAAGTCTCAAAAAGTGTTTAAACAATGCATCACCTTTAGTACTTTTTAATAGTTTTATGTAGCTGTTTAGAGTGTTATGGTGAATGCAGTGTTGAAACATGAGGAAAATTCAGTTGTCATCAGCTACTGTATGATCATGCTCAGATTAGACTTTTCTACGGTTACCTGATTATTTATTTGAATCCTGTTCCTGCATAAATGTTTTAAATGTTGTATCAGGCCAAGTAAGAAAAGTATTCAATTACACCATTTTAAGATCACATTCAACATGTTTTAGAGTCAATTTCTTACCATTTGAAGCCTTACTCCATCTTTTACATACAATCTGCTTACATCTTTTTGATGATTACGTTTAAGGACCTTTATCCTTATATTTTTTGTAAACAAACAAAAAAAAATGAAAAAACCAAAAAAATATTTTTGTTAGTGGTGTTTTGTTTCATAAAATCCACCATTCTCTTTGATACGACAGTGGTGTAGTACAAAAGAAATAATTTTCTTTTATTTTTTACACATTTTGAAGATAATAACGTGTAATCTTTTCTTTTCTTTTGAAAATTGATTGAGCTATACCTGACCAATCTTCTGGGTTGTCTTCTTTGCAGCAACTTATTTATATATGGAAATACTTTTCTGTGGACAGCACAGATCTGCTTGATGTGACGATGTCACCTGCAGTGGAAAATGCCTTCTTGCTATTAACCTTTTTGTTTGCGTATAAGCATGCACAGACATTTGAATCTCTCTAACTTGAGACTTCCAGTCACATTCATTTCCATTCATATTTAGATGTTAAAAACAGCTTGTTATGCTGCTTAATGTTGCAAACTGATGTTTTCTTATTTTATTCTTCTTCTTTGAAACTTTTAAAATGATACCAGTGGCTGAACCGATATTTTGAGCCACAGAATTATGGTGCATGACTAAAGGAAAATCTTTTATTTGAGAATTTTTTTATTTATTCTTTTTTATCATTTTAATTGAACAATATAATTAAAGTAAAAATAAAAAGTATAAATACATTCATATTTTATATATTAGAATTAAAGTGCAATAATACATTTCTTTTGATCATTTTTTTGCGTTAATTTATGATTTGCATTATTCAATTAACATTATATTAACTTACTAATAACCTTTGTTTAATAAACATGGTTTCCGCCACATTCATTTTTCCATGGCGGGGTGCCACTCCAAAATTTATCCAGCCATGGTTACATTACAACTTCAGGTGCGTGATGCGTTAGGCCAGCAAACATGACGTATAGCCATTTCACTTTACTTCAGGACACATTAATACAGCTCTGTAGGTCTATTGGAGACATTTATAAATATTCCTAGCAAATCTAATGAATGTTGGAGACATACTTGTTACATAAACGCACTAAATTACACTTTAGCAGTGTTTATTTGAGAGCGCACAAGAAGATCTGCGCTCGAGCAGCATATATTTGAGGAGGCGTGCAAGAAGTTTTGTGCACGAGCAGAGGAAATCAGCGCGCAAGCAAAGAGATTTGTTTGCTCGTAGGCTATTACATAAATGCGATCATATGTAATACTGTGCTCACGACATTTGTCATTGAAACAACGTTACAGGTAGTTGGTAGATCTGTGTAAAAAAGGCCTGCCGCCACAGGTGGAAAAAAAAAAACTAGAGGAAACTGTGCTGTATAAAGGCTGTCATAAAAATTGCCTATGTGTGTGCATTAAGCAACAAGAACAAACGCCTAACATCGCCGACAGTGTCCCTATCCTTCAAAGTTGTTTAGAACTAAATGTTTAAAGATGGTGTGACCTAACGCATACCAAGGTGTGCCTTTGATGTTCCCCTTGATGCTTTTTAAGTCCTTGTCGCTGCACCAGTGGCACCAGAAGTCATATGCTGATTCAGTTCAGTGCATACCGGTTACGTAGGTATGGGTTTCGATACTCAATCCTAGTACTAAGCCAGTCAAGTTCTGTCCCACTTTTTTGTTCAAAAATCTGCCTGTCTCAGATATACAATGCAAAGCTTTCTCTTCATGCTTGGTCTGCATATTTGCATCTACTCTGTAAATGAGCACACGTGTGTTTAATTCTGTTCATGTCTCTCCTACAGTCATGGACTCACAACATCTCAAAGGAAAAGGAATTTCTCCGAAAGTTGGTGAAGGCCAACATCATTACAGACTTAACCAATGGGATTTGAACCTCCCAAGGTGGGTGCCTTTCTAGGAGGACTCGGGACGTCCTGGGAGCCGCCGAACCAGACAACAGTGAGAAGCAAGATTTCAGAAGTGGGAGCGATGGCTCAGTTAAGACGTGCCTTCTAAACCGACAGGCTTCCTCTGAGCGGGATGTTGAAGGCTTCTTGAATGTCTCAGGAGAAAATCCTTGATGGAGTGTTGGAGGATGGAAGATTTTGAAGTGACCGCCACAAACAGCGCTTGAGGAACTAGTCGCAACAGTAACTGATTGTGCCAAATGTACCTCTATCAGAGGAGACGCCCCCTCCTCTCCTGCCTGAATGTATTAACGGTGTAAATATCAAAGATTTTTACTGTGCATTTTATCAGACTGCTATGGCCCCTAGGGTCCTGCCTTCACACGCGGTTCTCCGTCCAGTGCACTCAGTGCGTATCCTTTTCCCCGGTGTGTGGAAGGGCAGAGGCAGGTCTTTTGATTCAGCCCTTCACCTGAGCACAGGAGGCTCTTTATCTCCTGAATGTGAGCTTATTATGGTAAAGCTTCTTTTGTAGAGGAAAGGAGCTCAGTCTATAAGTTATTTATTTTGGTGCACAAATGAAGGCCTTTGTTTTATGTGCGTGTGTGTGTGTGTGTGTGTGTTTTTGAAGCCCCATTTCCAAAATGACACTTGTTTTAAATAACCATCACCACACTTTGCTTTAGGAGTACCTATTAGGGATGCACCGATGCCCTTTTTGATTCCAAGACTTGAATTTCTGATATTGGCCGCTACCTCACTTTGTTAGTAATTGATAGGGCAGTTGATTTAAAAGTGATGTGTAATGTAGTAATATATGTAGTAATGTTTCCTCATACTAGGCTTACCGGGCAATGAAGGATGAAAAATACACTACTTAACTACAAGTATTGTTTCAGTTTATTCTAATATCTAAGAATGCCAGTATTAAAAACCCAAACAAATGAAAATGTTCTTAATAAAATGCGATTTTTCTTTTCTTTCTTTTTTTGATGTGTCCCTTAGTGGACCAGGGTGAACATATTTAAACCTATTGGGAACCATGTTTTCTTTTTTAAGCTGTTAAACATCTCTGTAAACTAGTCCACTACAAACATTACTGACACTCATAAAGTACCACTGCCACAGTTCATGTAAGATGAGATCAATACTTAAGCCGCGGTCACACTACACTTTTAACCCCATATACTGTACTTTCATTTATACGTATGCAAATGTGTCAGACAAGAAACGCAAGTACAGTTGAAGTCTGAATTAATAGCCCCCCTTTAAATTCTCTTTCTTTTTTATTTTTTTAATATTTTGTAAATGACAGCAAGGGAATTCAGTATGTCTGATAATATTTTTCTTCTGGAGAAAGTCTTATTTGTTTTATTTTGGCTAGAGTAAAAGCAATTTTTAATTTCCTAAAAAACATTTTAAGGTCAAAATTATTGCTTAGTTAATCTAATTAACCTAGTTAACCCTTTAAATGTCACTTTAAGCTGTTTAGAAGTGTTTTCTATGACACTAAGAAAAAAAATATCTAGTAAAATATTATTTACTGTCATCATGGCAAAGATAAAATAAATCAGTTATTAGAAATGAGTTTTTAAAACTATGATGTTTAGAAATGTGTTGAAAAAATAAACAGGGGGACTAATTATACTGACTTAAATTGTTCTTAAAATTCAATGAGTTCGAAATATCAAGCCTGGTAAACGCTGACCTGCGAAGTTGCATCACATGATTGCATTAGGCCAGTGTTTCTCAACCATGTTCTTGGAGGACCACCAGCTGTGTTTCTTAGCTACTCATGTCATGCCAATCAGACGAATTGATTCGTCTTCAAAGAGTCCCCCCATTTGACTCCTACTCCTCCCCCTTCTCCTGATAGGGCGACATGATGGCCCAGTGGTTAGCACTGTCGCCCCACAACAAGAATGCCATTGGTTCTTGGTTCTTGTTACCAGGCCAGTCAGCATTTCTGTGTGGAATCTGCATGTTCTCCCTGTGCTTGCGTGGGTTTTCCCAAAGACATACAATTAAGTAATTTGACTATTTCAAAGTGGCTTCATAGACAACTCTTAGTCAGCTAAATCTCATAGCTATTCCTAAGACCTACCTGAGCTCTAAGAGAGCCCTGGGTTTGAGGATATTCTGAGCTCAGGACTCTCTCCTGCGACAGTATGCCAAACATGCTTTATAATCAATCATCATCTAAGTGTGAACTCTAGAAAACACCCTTAATGTGTTTATGCCTTTATTATTGTTCATGTTTACTTTCGCTGTCTCATTTAGGTAAACTCCTGAGATAAATAAGTTATATCTCTGAACCTTAATAATAAACAGGTTGCAGGCCGCAATGACTTTTAGGACTCAAGAGAGTTTCGCGCTCAAGTCTGCGACAATGTATCCTCGATACCAAGAACACATCCGGGAACTTTCACGCATCCTCCGTTCTTGCGGTCTTGAGTTTTAGAACTGAATTTTAACAGTTGATGATGACTTTACATGAGAACACAAGGATGCAAGAATGCTGAAGAACGCATATTGGCTGTTTCTAACTATGTGTTCAGCGATCATGAGTCCTCGTGTTCTCATGTAAAATCATCTTCAACCGCCAGTTCAGTTTCAAAACTTAAGAATGCAAGATGCGTCAAATTTCCCGGATGTGTTCTTGATATCGAGGATGCACCGATGCAGATCTGAGCAGCGAACTTGCTCAAGAAGTTTAGAAGTCATTGCAACTGAATAAAGGAGGTGGGAAGCGCAGCATTTAATATTTAATATTTATTATTAAAGTTCAGAGATAAAACATTCTTCTCAGGAGTTTGCCTAAATTAGTCTGTGAAAGCAAACATTAACATGAAAATTTTACTACAGGCATAAACACATTAAGGGTGTTTAAATTCGTATTAAAATCTGTTTTATTGGTATTGTGTTTCTGTTCCTGTTATTTATATCGAAAAGTTGAAAAAAAAAAACAATAAATCATTGTATGAATGCTGTAATGTTTAAATAAGTTTCCATTAAAAGTATGTGAAGGTCATTTGACCATCACGAAGAATGCAGCATCTCATTTCTCACAGGAAGTGTTCTGTGTTCTCGCGATCTCGTTCTTTCGAGATGACCTGCAAGACAGGTCTTCCGTTCTCTGCGTTTTTGGAATTGAGGAACAGCCCATGTCTCCTTAACCAAACACACCTGATTCAGATCATCAGCTTATTAGCAGAGACTGAAAGACCTGTAATGGGTGTGACCGACAAAGAAGACATGCAGTGTTACATGCAAAACATGCACTGTTTGTGGTCCTCCAGGAATGTGGTTGAGAAACACTGCGTTAGATCAATAGAAGATCTAAATGAAACCTCACTGCACAGAAATTTAAAATATGGTGCAATCGCTTGCTTTCATCAGCGTCTAATCATCGCGTTTAAACCCGCTTCTGTTCGCAGCGCCGTATGACAGAATTTCACAAGCACAAAATCTACTGTGACCGTGGCTTACTGTAAGTTGGCTAGTCCAATTTAACAGTTATGGGGTTAGCCTTTTTGTGGCCTTTTAAAGCAATATTTTAGCCAAAAATGACATTTCTGTCATCATTTACTCACTCTTGTTGCAAACCTTAATGGATTTCGTTCTCCTGTTAAACACTTCCATCCTCTTGTAAGGTGTGGCGTATCGGTGACTAATGGAATACTGTTTCTGGGTCCAAGTAGCTACTCAATTGAATGGAGAAAATATTCATTTAAGGTCTCAATAGACAACAATATGTTAACATTTATTAACATTTATTAAAAAATTAATAACTTTCTGGTTATTGGAAATTAGGTATGGATATATACAGTATACATATACAGGTCCATAAATATTTGGATCTCGACCAATTCTAACATTTTTGCCTCTATATGCCAACACAATGGATTTGAAATTGAACAATCAAGACGTGCTTTAATTGCAACTTTCAGCTTTAATTTAAGGGTATTTACACCCAAATCAGGTGAACGCTGCAGGAATTACAACAGTTTGCAAATCTGCCTCTCACTTGTTAAGAGTCCAAAAAGAAATTGGACAATTGGCTTCTCAGCTGTTCCATGGCCAGGTGTGTTATTCCCTCATTATCCCAAATACAATGAGCAGTGAAGACTATAGAAACAACTGTGGTGGATGACCAAGAAATTCTTTCCCTGCTGAAGAAAACACCCTTCACAACAGTTAGCCAGATCAAGAACAATCAAGAGAAGACTACAGAGGGTTAATCACAAGATGTAAACCATTGGTCAGCCTCAAAAACAGGAAGACCAGATGAGAGTTCTAAAAAAGCCTTCACAGTGCTGGAACAACATCCTATGGACAGATGAGACCAAGATCAACTTGTACCAGAGTAATAGAAAGAGAAGAGTATGGAGAAAGAAAGGAACTGCTCATGGTCCTAAGCAGTGAAGCATAGTTCTAATTAAGAAATGGCGTGGGCATGTATGGCTCTCAGTGGAACTGGTTCTCTTGTATTTATTGATGATGTGACTGCTGACAAAAGCAGCAGGATGAATTCTAAAGTGTTTTGGGCAATATTTTATGCTCACATTAAGCCAAATACTTCAGAACTTATTTGGCGATGCTTCACAGTACAGATGGAGAATGAACCAAAGCATACTGCAAAAGCAACCAAAGAGTTTTTGAAGGGAGAGAAGTGGAATGTTATGCAATGGCCAAGTCAATCCCCTGACCTGAATCTGATTTCACATGCATTTCACTTGCTGAAGACAAAACTGAGGGAAAATGCCCCAAGAACAAGCAGAAACTGAAGACAGTTGCTGTAGAGGCCTGGCTGAGCACGACTGGGCATGAAACCCAGCGTCTGGTGATGTCTTTGCGTTCCAGACTTCAGGCTGTAATTGACAAAGAATTTGCAACCAAATAATAAAACGTGAAATTTTGATTTATGATTAATATTCTGTCCAATTTCTTTTGGACCCTTAACAGGTGGGAGGCACATATGCAAACTGTTGTAATTCCTACATAGTTTACCTGATTTGGATGCAACTCCCTTCATATTAAAGCTGACAGTAGTTTCATTTCAAATCCATTGTATTGCTGTATAGAGTCAAAAACTTTAAAATTGTGTCCATCCACAAATTTATGGACCTAACAGTATATATTGCGATTGTGATTTTCGAAAGTATTAGAGCGCTTTGTATTGATACCATGTTTGTCGATACCATTTGTCGAGTCTCCCCATACAGTCTGATTTAGCGTTTGTACCCAGAAGCTGCTTTGTGTGACGTCACACTTAAGCGGAAAGTATTTATATTTCCTACAATGGAAGTCGACAGATACAGGTTTTCTTCAAATATCTTCTTTTGTGTTGAGAAGATAGAAACACATAAAGGTTTGGAAGCACTTGAGGGTGAGAAAATAGAGAGTCAATTTTCAATTTTGGGTCAACATTCCATTAAACATTCCAGTCTGTGTCCCTCAAAGCACCAAGAACCACAACATTCAAACACCGCAATAGACTTCAGAGAAATAATTCACATAATGACGTATATCCAACATCGGGAATCTGAGAAGTCGATGTTGCCCTTTGAGATTGCACACACAAATATAGTCTAGCTCTTTGAAATAGGCTGCAAGATATTGAGGCTGTCCAGTGGCTTTAATTAACTTATGGTAAAAGCTAGAATGTTTTTGTTTTACTTGACGTTGGATTACACACAGTATCAGATCATTCACTTCTGACTGATACCTGATCAAAAATGTCTGTATGGTTGTGAAACAATCCAGGTATCGAATCAGTGCATCCCTAGTATCTATTTAGACAGGCCTCAAAACCACCTGACGTTATGGTACACTGCCATCCTGTATTCTGCCTTTACCCTCGAAAGGCAGCATGTTGAAACCAGTACACTAAGAATTAAATTTTTCAGTCAAAACATTTTAAGATTAGAGCCTTCACATTTATTTACAA